CTCCCTTTAGATCCCATAACATTTCTTAAATAACCAGGTGCCCTGGTATTGGTGCATATATGTTTATTATAGTCACATCTTCCTATGAATTGATCCTTTAATTGTTTTTTTAAGGTTATATTTATTTATTTGAGAAGTAGAGTTATAGACAGTGAGAGGGAGAGACAAAGAGAAAGGTCTTCCATCTGCTGGTTCACTCCCCAAATAGCTGAAATTGGTGGAGCTGGGCCAATCTGGAAACAAGAGACAGGAGTTTCTTCCAGCTCCCCAACACAGTTGCAAGGGTCCAAGTACTTGGACAATCTTCCACTGTTATCCCAGGCCATAGCAGAGAGCTGGATTGGAAGAAGAGCAGCTGGGACTAGAATCCATGCCCATATGGACTGCTGGTGCCACAGGTGGAGGATTTAACCTACCATGCCACAGCACCAGCCTCAATCCTTTAATGCCCTTCTTTATCTCTTTTTAACAGTTTTTGTGTTAAAGTCTATTTTGTCTGATATTAGGATGGCTACATCTGATCTTTTTTGCTTTCTGTTAGCATGGATTATCTTTTTCCATTGCTTTACTTTAGTCTGTGTGTATCTTTGTTGGTGATGTGTGTTTCTTCTAGGCAGCAAATAGATGGGTCCTGTTTTTGTATCCATTCAGCCAATCTGTATTTTAAAAAAAAGATTTATTTATTTGAGAAGTAGAATTATAGAGGGAGGGAGCGAGAGAGGGAGAGAGAGAAAGGTGTTCCGTCCATTGGTTCATTCCCCAATTGGCTGCAATAGCCAGAGCCAGGCCCATCTGAAGCCAAGAGCCAGGAACTTCTTCCTGATCTCCCACCAGGTGAAGGGGCACAAGCAATGGGCCAGCTTCTACTGCTTTCCCAGGCCATAGCAAAGAGCTGGATCAGAAGATGAGCAGGGCCAGCGCCACGGCTCACTAGGCTAATCCTCCGCCTGCGGCACTGACACACCAGGTTCTAGTCCAGGTCGGGGCATCGGATTCTGTCCCAGTCGCTCCTCTTCCTGTCCAGCTCTCTGCTGTGACCCAGGAGTGCAGTGGAGGATGGCCCAAGTCCTTGGGCCCTGCACCCGCATGGGAGACCAGGAGAAGCATCTGGCTCCTGGCTTTGGATCAGCGTGGTGCACCGGCCGCAGTGCACCAGCTGCAGCGGCCATTGGAGGGTGAAACAATGGTAAAGGAAGAACTTTCTCTCTGTCTCTACCTCTCTCACTGTCCACTCTGCCTGTCAAAAAATAAAAAATAAAATTAAAAAAAAAAAAAAAAAAAGAGATGAGCAACCAGGACATGAACCAGTGTCCAAATGGATGTCAGCACTGTAGGCAGAAGCTTAGACTGCTGCACCACAGCACCAACCCCCAGTCTGTATCTTTTAATTGGAGAATTTAGCCTATTTACATTCAAGGTTACTATTGATAAGTAACAACTCGGCCCTGCCATTTTTCCATAAATATTCCTATTGTTTGCTTTGGATTTCCTCTGTACTTTTAGTGGGAAATTTTCTACCTTCACATTCTTTCATGATGATGAGCAACTTTCTGTGTTTGTGTGTAGCACATTCTTAAGCATCTTTTGTAAGCTGGATGAATGGTAATAAATTCTTTTAATTTCTGTTTGTTATGGAAGGTCTTTGTTTTACCTTCATTCATAAATGAGAGTTTTTCAGGGTACACTATTCAGGGTTGACAATTTTTTTCTCTTAAGACTTGGAATATATCTTGCCAACCTCTTCTAGTCTCTAAGGTTTCTGATGAGAAGTCAGCTGTGGGTCTACTTGGAACTCCTCTGAAAGTAATCTAGTATTTCTTTCATGCACATTTAAGAATCTTTTCTTTATGTTTTACTGTGGAAAGTTTGGCTACAATGTGTTGTGGTGAATTTTTTTTGTTTTGTTTTGTTTGTTTGTTTGTTTTGACAGGCAGAGTGGACAGTGAGAGAGAGAGACAGAGAGAAAGGTCTTCCTTTTGCTGTTGGTTCACCCTCCAATGGCCACAGTGGCCAGAGCGCTGCGGCTGGCGCACCACGCTGATACGAAGGCAGGAGCCAGGTGCTTCTCCTGGTCTCCCATGGGGTGCAGGGCCCACGCACTTACTTGGGCCATCCTCCACTGCACTCCCGGGCCATAGCAAAGAGCTGTCCTGGAAGGGGGGCAACCAGGACAGAATCCGGCGCCCCCACCGGGACTAGAACCCGGTGTGCCGGCACCGCTAGGTGGAGGATTAGCCTATTGAGCCGTAGCGCCAGCCTGTGGTGAATGTTTTTTTAGTTGTGTCTATAATGATTCTATGTTCCTCACATACTAGGATGTCCCTTTGTTCAAAATGAGGAAGTTTTCTGTAATTATTTCACTGAATATGCCTTCTCATCAATTCTGTTTCAGCACCTTCAGGAACTCCTAAGACATGTATGTTGTGTCATTTGATAGTATCCCATAAATCTCTAACCATGTTTTTTAATTTTTCTACTTTTTTTTTGTCTGAAAAATTTCCAAAGATTTGTATTCTAGCTTCAATATTCTTTATTCTGCCTCACCAGATCTGTTGTTAAGGCTCTCCACTGTATTTTTTATTTGACATTGATTTCTTCATTTCTAATATTTCATTTTGATTTCTCTTCAAAATCTCAATTTTATATGAGTATTTTTCATTCATGTCATGTATGGATTTCTTTATTTCATGAATTTGCTTCTCATTGCTTCTGAGGAATCTTATGATTGATCTTTTGAATTCCATTTCTGGCATTTCATCAGTCTCTTCATCTTCACATTCTAATGTTAAGTGTTGTGTTCTTTGGTGGGGACGAGGGGTCATGTTGTCTTCCTTATTCCTGTTGCTTGAATTTCTGCATTTATTTTAAGGTATTTGTAGAGATATTTGTTGTTGTTGTTGTTGTTGTTTCCTCTGATGGCTATTATCTTTGAACTGTGTCTCTGTGGCTTAGTGGAGTGTCTGCTTTTTCACTGAATACCCAGAAGTTTGTGCTGGGTCTGTGGCCAGGGAGCTCTGGTCAGTGCTTCAGGGTAGGGTGGGTATCCAGGGTGACACCCAAGTTTAGTGTGGTAAGTCTCTTCTTGTTGACAGAAATGGGGGTTTGAACCTGTGTTTTGGCATTTTCACACCCTTACCTCCTCCATTCCAAGGTAATCCATGCCCACTGTTAGTCCCCAGTGGGTGCAATACTCAACCACGCTTCCGCATGAACTACACAAAGGATCTGAGCTGTCCTCAGTGTGAGCATGGATCCCACTGCAATGACCAACAACAGGCAGTCAGAGAGCACTGAGTATGTGGAGCTGCACACAGTGATTGCCCAGAGACCCAGCTAAACCCTGTATCCTCTCATGCAGTCACAGAATTCCCACAGTCTCAGCACACAGGACTCCCACAGTCATGTGGTACAGAGGAATCACTCTGCCTCACTAGCCTGTCTCACCCACGGAGAGGCTGAGGTGTTCCCAGAGCCAGCTTCCTGTGGGTGCTCTGCCTAGGCTATTTAAGCCTTACAGCCTGTGGTATGTTGAGAGACTGGAGACACCTCACATTCCTATGTGGCTGCCCAGCCCCTTGTCAATCCTCCCTCCCAGATTCAAAGTCAGTGAGGAACACTGATTTTTCCCTCTTAAAATCCCTGGATCACACGTGTGCAGAAGAGCTGCCTGCCACAATGCTACTCATGTCAGAGCCGTGCCTCTCTCTGCTGGTTGCTGGGGGCATACAGGAGTCTCTGCAGTTGGTTTCAATGTTGGAATGGTCAACCCATTATGCCACAATGCCAGCTCCTGATTACTTTTTTTTTAAGCTTTCTCAGGGGCCAGTCCTGTGACGTAGAGGGCAAAGCTGCTGCCTCTGGTGCCAGTATGCCATATGGGTGCTGGTTTGATTGCCGACTGCTCCTCTTCCAATCAAGCTCCCTGCCAATGTGCCTAAGAAAGCAGCAGAAGATGGCCCAAGATCTTGGGCCTTTGTACCCAAGTGGGAGACCCAAAAGAAGCTTCTGGCTCCTGGTTTTAGAATGGCACAACCCTTGACATTGTGGCCATTTGTAGAGTAAACCAGCAGATGTCAGGTCTCTCTCTCACTCTGCCTTTCAAATAAATAAATAATCTTTGAAAAAAAGAAAAACAGATTTCTTTAAAATACACCATAGGAGCAGGCGTTTTGTGCAGCAGTTAAGTCACTGCCTAGGAAGCATGCATCCCATATCAGAGTACCTGTTTCAGTCCCAGCTACTCTGCTTCCAGGCTGTCTTCCTGCTAATGTGCACACTGGGAGGCATCAGATGATGGCTCAAGTACTTGTGTCCCTCACACCCACATTGGAGACCCAGATGCAGTTCTAGGTTCCTGGTTTCAGTCTTACATGACCCTGGCTGTTACAGACATTTGAGGGTTGGCAGGGAGAAGGGGTGAGCCAGCAGATGGAAGAGCTCTCACTCTGCCTTTTAAATAAAAAAAAATCAGTAAATTTAAAATTATGCCATGTATGTTGAGTGAACCTCTTTGTTTATTTTGAAATCTTACATCTTTTATGTGAATTTCTAACATTGAGGTTTATCATGTATCATTACATATATCTATAAAACTTTTATTTCCTCTGAGTAATGTACCAGGTCAACCTCTGTATTCACTTTACTTTCATTTCCCTTTCTAGGACCATGGAGAATTGGGGATAGGGAAAAATCTTTATTTTGAATTTCGCAATAGTCTTTTACTCACTATACCACTTTAGATTGGAGCTACTAACATGTAAGAGCCATTCATTCACATGCTATGAATCTACTTCAAAATCAATAGTTGTTGATTTTTTTTTTTTTCTGTATAATTCTCAAGTGAAGTGTTCTTCATGTCACTAGTGGCAAAGAAGTCTAGTTAACATTTGAGGGGTAAGCTTAATGCAGGAATGGGAATTTTAATAGGAAATATACTTTCTCCTTAATGTAAGTGATAATTCTTTGTTATTGTCTCTGTTTCGTTCTCTATTTTCTTCCAGGAAATTGTCTCCTGCTTTCCACCAAGCACTACTCTCTTTTTGTCGAATGTCAGCAGATAGTCGTTTAGGATCAGAGGTAAATTACACCAGATGTTCTTCCAGCTTTCTTAAGACATTCTACTATGTTTCTTAGTATTTCATTCAAAAACATCTCTAATAAGATTATTTTTGCAATATAAATATATTCTTTAAGATAATATTCTAAGAAATAGTTGCTAAAATTTTAGCCTTTAATAAAAGATAGTTAATGATTTCTCTTCTTTGGATCAAAGCTTTGTTCATTCATCTTAAAATGACCTTTTATAATATATTTTAATATATTATGTACTATGACAGCCCTTGAGAATAATTCAAAGAACAAGCAATGAGACTGCTCCAGTCATGTGAAGTCCCTACTTATTCCTATAACTGAACTTTATTAGAGACCTCACTCTGATTTTTTTTTTTCCACAGGCAGAGTTAGACAGTGAGAGAGAGAGACAGAGAGAAAGGTCTTCCTTTCTGTTGGTTCACCCCCCAAATGGCCGCTACGGCCGGCTCACTGCCGAAGCCAGGAACCAGGTGCTCCCTCCTGGTCTCCCATGTGGGCCATCCTCCACTGCCTTCCCTGGACACAGCAGAGAGCTGGACTGGAAGAGGAGCAACCGGGACAGAATCCAGCACCCCAATGGGGACTAGAACCTGGGGTGCCGGCGCTGCAGGCGGAGGATTAGCCAAGTGAGCCGTGGCATCGGCCATCACTCTGATTTTTTACTAGTATTTAGAATCTGTTTCTGGCCCACAGAAATTTTGATACTCTGTTTTCGTTGCTGTTAAAAGTTGTATCATTTATTAATTCTTTGGTTTTCTAGGTGTCTCGGATTGCAGACAGTGAAAAAAGTGTTATGTTAATGCTGGGTCGCTGCCTGCCACACATTGTTCCTAATGTGCTATTGGCAAAGAGAGAGGTAAGGCATATAAAAGCCCTTTCATCCCAATAATCCCATCATGTTGTCCATTTTTGGTCATTTTGAAGTTTAGTGTTATATTTTTATTTTGTTAAAGTCTATTACTTGCAATCATATTCTTACTTTTGTGCATGCATCTCTGCTCCTAGAGAATGGTTTTACACCTCTGTCAGGTGAGTTCAGTAAAACTGCATGGTATTCAAGTTTTTTCAATTTTGCTTAAAGCATTCTTAGCTTTTGCAGCACTAATTATTACTGTAGGTCCATTTTTTTTGTGCCTTGAACACTATACGTCTTTTATATTAATCAGTTAACTGATTTATTTTTCCCTCTCCTCTTGGTATGATATAGTTGTATCCACAGAAATGGGCTGTGTTAGTATTTAAAATTAACAGGGACTAATAATGTCACACTTTTCCCAATTTTATTTCTAGTTGCCTATCATGAAAGTTAGTTGTGTTGTGTTTGGCAATAAATTACACTTAAAATGATATGATAGTCATAATATTGACTATAATACTTTTTTTAGTACTTATTTTATACTTAACTTTTTGTTGACAGATGCTTTAAATATCCAAAATACAGTTGGTTGCAAATGCATTTTAGTCTTTATTGCCTATGCTATAATCCATACATACTATAAGAAGCTATCTTTAAACTTACATTTACAAATTATTATTAGATATGGTTCTGTTGATACCATTAAAGATTAATGAAGAACTCTATAGTCTCACTTAAATGGTGAGTGATTTATTTCCACCCCTGTTTACAAATGTTTTTATAAAAAAGGATTAGCATATTTTAGAATGTATCATAAAAATTTCCAATGATACCTTAGTATTTATTACTGATTTTACTCTTATTTCATGGGACCTACAGTATGATAGGTACATAATGCATTGGCAAGACCTATTTAAAGCTTATCTTTAATTATCTGTTTAGCATAAGAAATTTGTACTGATCCTCAAGAAATCATATGAAGAGCTTTAAAATTTGTATTCATGTAGGTATTTTTAATAAAAAAGATTTTAAAAGACTATTTCCTTACTCTTGATTTTATTTTTACCTAATTATTTTTAAGTACTCATAAGACTAATAAATATGGAAAGTTTTCTCTCTTGAAGGATCAGTGTCCAATTTCAGATTGTTTTGCAGTTCTGCCTGGCAGAATGGTGTTTGAGCTTCTTTTCCTTTCTCAGCTTATGTATAATCCATATAATGCATTAATGTTTGCATCCCTATTACTATGTTATCTTAATGTAATCTTTAAAATATTGCATAAACTTAATTATGAGATGCATTTTTAGCCTTTTTTATTTTAATTTTTCATGTTATCATAAAAGACTCTTCCACTAAAATTTGATTATACTGCATGAGGTATTTATAAATTTGCATCATTGGTAATCAGATACATTATATATATAGATATATATATACTCATATACACATACATATAATTTGTGGTATGTTTACTTTTCTGGCTGATTTTAAATATTTTATATTTCAAAATTTATATGTTTTGTTCTATTTTATCAGAAAATTGACTATAATAAAACAACATTGTGTTCCCGCAGCATTAAACTGATTAATAATGAAATATATCCCAGTTTGGTTTAAAATCAATTCTGGGCATAAATGAACAAAACATGTTTCATTATATCCCCTGATATCAATTTACTTTTTTAGTATTTCATTCCAGCTCCTTAAATGTGTATATTTCAAAGGCTCTTGTGATTCAAGGATTAATATTTTGACTTTCTTATTCCTTATGTTTTGTATAAATTCTTCTGTTAGCTTATGCCTTTTTATTGGTATGTAAATATAGTTAACATATTCTTAACCAAACTGACTGATCATAGTAACATCCTAGTTGATTAGATAAAACATCAGAAACAGGGTTTTAGATTTTTTTCATTCAGTGCATCAACATAAGATTTTTAAAATATGAAAGGATTTACAATGAAAATTTTTTCCATCCTTAAGCCATTGCCGCACTAGCCATCATGTCCTTTTTTTTTATTTTAAGATTTATTTATTTGAAAGGCAGAATTATAGAGAGTCAGTTAGAGAGAGATTTACTCCCTATGGCTGCAACAGCCAGAGCTGCACCGATCCGAAGCCAGGAGCCAGGAGCTTCTTCCTGGTCTCCCATGTGGATTCAGGGGCCAAAGGACTTGGGCCATCTTCTACTGCTTTCCCAGGCCATAGCAGAGAGCTGGATTAGAAGTGGAACAGCTGGGACTCGAACCAGCACCCATATGGGATACTAGCACTGCAGGTAGCAGGTTTACATGCCACGCCACAGTTCTGGCCCCCCATCAAGTTCCTTTACTAGTCTTTATTTCCTCAAGGTCTTTGACCAAAACTATTTGAATTGGATTGTATGTCTTTATCTTTTTGAGTTGTAAGAATTCTTAATGTATTCCAGATATTAAAACTTTATTTCATATATGTTCCATAAATGATTTTCTTCTATCCTGTAGTTTGTGTTTTTACATTCTTGATAAGGTCCTTTGATGGGAAAATGTTTTTTTAGTTTTAGAAAATCTGATTTCTGTGTTTTCTTTTTTTGCTTCCACTTTTGGTATCAACTCTTAAGAATCCATTGCCAAATCCAAGATTAAGAATGTTTACCCTTATGTTTTCTTCTAATAGTTTGATAGCTCTAACTCCTATGTTTAGGTCAGTGATCCATTTTGAGTTAATTTTTAAGTAGGAGTGATAAAGTGTCAAATGTTTTCTTTTCATGTAGCTAGCCAATTGTACTGACAACATTTTTCAAGAGAAAAATTTTCCCCGTTGAATGGCCTTGCCACTTTTTGTTGAAAATCAATTGGCTATAAATTGTTTTGGATTTATTTCTGGACTCTCAATTCTGTCCACTGGCTGTCTATATCTCTCTTATGCCAGTAACACAATGTTTTGATTACTGCATGTTGTAGAAAGGCTTGAAGTGGAGAATTATGAGTCGAAATCAACTTCATTTTTTCTTTTTCAGTATTGTTTGGCTCTTCAGAGACCCTTGTATTTCAATATGAATTTGATGCTTAGCTTTCCATTTCTGCAAAATAGATCCTTGGAATTTTGATTAGATTATATTGAAGGTATCACTTGAGGAGTTTTTAAGGAGTTTTCTCTTCCACTCCCATTAAGTCTTCTACTTCATGGATATGTAATGTCTTTCAGTTTCTTTAGGTCTTCATTTCTCTCAGCAGTGTTTTGTAGTTTTGAACATACAGGAATTTCACTTCTTGACTAAATTTATTTCCGTGTATTTTATTTTTTTTTTGATGATACTATGGATGAAATTGTCTTTTTAATTTTCTTTTTTCAGATTATCCATTGTTTTATAGAAACAGAATTGATATTTATGTGCTGATGTTGTACCTTACAACTTTACTGAATTTCTTGGGCCTACTTGCTCTTTTCTCATGAATTTAGCAGAATTTCCGAAGTAGAAAATCATATAATCTGCAAATATAAGATAGTTTTGCTTTTTCTTTTCTAACCTGGATAGCTTTTTTGCCTCTTAATTGCCTTCCATAGAACTACTAGTATATAGTTGAAGAGAAGTTTTAGGATAGGAGATATCCTTTTCTTTTTCTTTTTCTTTTTTTTTTTTTTAAGATTTATTATATATTTGAAAGTGAGTTACAGAGAGGGAGAGACAGAAAGAGAGAGGTCTTCCATCTGCTGGTTCACTCCCCAGATGGCTGCAGTGGCCTGGCCTGGGCCAGACTAAGCCAGAAGCCAGGAGCTTCATCGTGGTCTCCCATGTGGGTGCAGGAGTCCAACAATTTGGGCCATCCTCTGCTGCTTTCCCAGGTACATTAACAGGGAGCTTGATTGGAAGTGGAGCAGCTGGAATTCAAACTGGTGCCCATATGGGATGCCAGCCTGCAGGCAGTGGCCTTTCCTGCTTCACCACAGTGCCTCCAAAAGATACTGTTTTCTTGTTTCTGATCTTGAAGGAAAGTGTTCAGTCTTTCCCACTGAGTATGTGAGCTGTAGGATTTTTATAAAAGCCCTTTAATACAGTTCACTGAGTGTTTGTATCATGAGAAGGTATTGAATTTTCTCTATTGAGCTGATAATGTAATTTTTCCTCTTCAGTCTATTAATATGATATTTTACATTCCTTGATATTTATGTTAAACCTTTCTTGCATTGCTGCAAATCATCATTTATAATCCTTTCACAATATTTTGGATTTGGAGATAGTGTTTTGTGTTGAACATTTTTATGTCTCTATTCATAAAGGATATTGGCCTCTAATTATATTGTGATATGTTTGGTATCAGGCTAAGACTGGCTTCATAAAATATATAGGAACTGTTGTTCTCTATTCCATTTGTTTTTCAGTTTGAATAAAATTGGTGTTAATTCTTCTTTAAATGTTTCTTCTTTCTGTGTGTGTGTGTGTGTGTGTGTGTGTTTAAGAATTCACTTGTGAAACCATCTGGTCCTGAAAGTTTTTTGACTGGGAAATCTTTGATACTGATCCAATCTCTTTACTGCTTCATTTCTTTCACTTAACATTTAATCATTCACTTTGTTTTAGAAATCTTTTTCTGCTTTTCTAGCATGAATACACACTAATTACCTAAAGATATTTCTTTTTCATTAGAAGTCACTTGTTTTCCTTATAAATTGAAAGAAGAATATAAATGTCAAAAGTTTTTTTTCTTCATGTTAACACAGAATTCCATGGATAACTCAGGAATTGAGGAGTAGAAAGATCCTTCAAATAAAACTACCTGCGCCGCGGCTCACTAGGCTAATCCTCCACCTTGCGGCGCCGGCACACCGGGTTCTAGTCCCGGTCGGGGCGCCGGATTCTGTCCCGGTTGCCCCTCTTCCAGGCCAGCCCTCTGCTGTGGCCAGGGAGTGCAGTGGAGGATGGCCCAGGTGCTTGGGCCCTGCACCCCATGGGAGACCAGGAAAAGCACCTGGCTCCTGGCTCCTGGCTCCTGCCATCGGATCAGCACGGTGCGCCGGCC